AGCAGGTGAAGCTCCCCACCAATAGATGAAGCATACCACCAAAAAAAAAAAAAAAAACCCAGCCACCAAAAGAATTTGTTTTTTCAATTTTTTTTCTTGAATATTGACATATCCTTCTTGGAAAGATCAGACAGCCCAAACCTCCTCCTACGGCCATGATTTTTTTTTTCAGGTTTTTTGCCGCTCAGCGCTGTGAGCATGAGGAAAATTGTCGCAGTTTGCCTTGTGCAAATACTTGCGGAAAAAAGAAGAAAAAAAAAAAAAGCCTTGCGAGTCCATGCCAACTGCGAGCGGTCACTCAACCTATAAGGCCATAAGGATAAGGCAGACCCCAAGCAATGCGGCCGCTACAGCAACGATTGCCATTTGTCTTTATTTGGGGGTATCACTTTGTTTGGCTGAGCGCTGTGGGGTTGCAAAACTCAATACCTTTCATTGAAATAGGTTTGGCTGCACTGTTTTGAGCCACCTGCCAATCCGCTAGGAGGGTGTGCTCTTATCACCCCGCCTTGCGGTGGGGCCGGCTTTCAAAAAAAAAAAAAAAAAAAAAAAAAAAAACTGTTGGCTGGAGCCTTCACGCCAGGCCCCACTGAAAGGCTATGCAAATGCTTACTCCTATGATAATCGTGAAAACACTGCTGTTATTCGGTTGGGGGAGGGAGACAATGACAAAGGAGGTGCAGGTACTGACAAAATGCTCCACAGGCGGTCCCACCCCATCTTTGACCACCATGGTTGGGGCGGAGGGCAACGTGCATCCCCTCTGATGGCTGGAGGGAGACAACAAAGCTATGTTTGTGGGGGTCCCCTGTATGTTTAGCCCTAGGAGCAGTGGTAGGTAGGTAGTGAAGGTGAATTGAAAAAAAAAGAAACTTAAAAAAAAAAAAAAAAAAGAAACTTTAAGATGGGGAAAGATTCACACTAGAGGCACGTGCATGCTCCTTTCACCGCATACGAACCGACCTACTTGTACTACAACCTACATAGACATGCCTGGAGACAGAAGGGGACAGAAGTACATACACCAGGGGACCGGCACAAACACTAAACTTGAAGTCATATTTAGCACGAAATGATTGAAGCAAGAATTCCTGAAACTTAAGCCACCAGACCTCGCTCAGCTATTGAATCCGAGCCTCCCAGCACGCTGCGCGCCAAGTCCTGCCGAACCGCCGTCGCAATTTTCTTTTTCGATTTGCCTGCGGCCTCCAGCCAATGCGGTCCGGCAGGCTGAAGCTGAAATGGCGCGGCGCGTATACGGGAAGCGCCGCGGCCGATCGGTGGGCCAGGTACTGGTGGTTTAAGCTGCGAGTACCCTTCCCATATATCGGCTGCAGGCCCTGCGCGCCAAGGACGGCCGCAGTAGGTGGCCGTCGGCGGAGGTCGCATTGGGCCTTCGTGTTAGTCCCCGCTCCCCCAGAATTTTGGCTGCGAAAGGCACTCGCGGGTGAAGAACCCATCTGGCATGCCTATCTAAGATAAGTAGAATACCGGTCAGCCTTTTTTTTTTTTTTTTTTTTTTTTTTTTTAATTATAAATGAAGCACCTTACTGCCAAACTCACCACTCGATCTAAAATCACGGCATACGGGAGCAATACCCCATTATATTAGGTGACCCACGCTCAGGGTGCCTCCGCAGAGTCCGCACTCATCTTGAGCTTCCGCCGTAGACGTGGCATAGTGTTGCTGCTCATCTTCCATGTCTTTGGCATCATCTTCGTTTCCTAGAGGAGCCTTCCGTCGTCGAACGCCCGTCTCGCCTGAATCTCAGCCACGTCCATCTTCGCCTGGTCCAATTGGATATATGTAATCCTACTAAATTAATCCCCTCATCAGCACAGATCACCTCCGTATCTGTCCTTTTAAAAAGCGCCTACCTTCTTCCCCCGAATACAACTACGGTCATTATAGCCGTATTTGGGGGATCTTTCAGTCTAGATACAGATATAATGACCGTACGTTGTATTCGGGGGAAGAAGGTAGGAACTAAAATGCTACCTCTTCTTCCGATCAAGGATTCACTGAAGTTTTTTTGTCGTCGTTATCTGAGTTGTCATCGACTCATTGCCATCAGCGTCCTCACCCTCCTCGCTAGAATCATCTTTGACCTCCACGGCAGCAAAAAATATCTTTAAACTGCGAGGAGTAGTGCGCCTTACGGTCGTCCTTCGACAAATTTTTGCTGTCGAAACGCTAAACCTTTATCAGTCGTTCCTTAGGCGTTTGGGCTTGAAGTTCATGCTACGCAACGTACTTGCCTTCCACCGCATTCTTGTACGGCCTCCGCAAGGTCTCCATGTCCTTGGGAGTGTACATGGTCGTAGTGGCGCTCGGATCTGGCTTCTGCTTGGCTGCAGCAGGTTGCTCTTGCGGGCTGCTCGACGTGACCGCGTTCGATAACCTCTTCTGCGTCTGCTTCAGAACTCCTACACCGGACTCCTCTTTAAGCTCCCTAAACTCTCTCTTCAAACCATAATTCTCCTTCTTCAAAGCGTTAACCTCTTCGTTCTTTTTCTCCAGAGCCTTGCGAAAAAAAAAAAACCCCTTCATATCCTCCACCTCTTGTCCAACTCTCTCGACTTCCGCCATCTCTTTTCGGCGTTTTCGCTTTGCATCTCCCTCCTGGCTAGCTTCAACAGGGGTCTGCTCTTTAGCTCTTATCAGCTCCCCTAGCATCAACCCGGTTATCTCTTTTTTTCTTTTTTTTTAAAAAAAAAAAAAAAAAAAAAAAAAAAAAAAAAAAAAAAGCTGCAACCTGTTTCTTTCAAGTTAGCTGCTCGATCTCGCCTCGCAACTTGTCTTCCTCCTTGGAGCACGCTTTTTGGCAATGCGCCTTTCTGAGCTCTTCCGTCGGTTTTCGAAACTCCTCAATACCTGTCGCCTTCTTACTTCAAGTTGAGTCCGCCCTTTGGTTTTAAACTCGTTCAGTTCTCTCCTTAGCATCGACGACTCGCAATCCCGAAGGTCCACCACCCGGGGGATGTCGGCAGATCGACGCGCAGGGGGATGATTCAGACGCACACACCGACTTCATACTCTGTCCAACAATGTGTCCAACCTTTCATGCAAAAAAAATCTTTCTCTTGCTTCCCAGAAACAACTTTTCGTCCTCCTCTTGCCTTTTCTTCTTCTCTTCCTTCAACTTTTCTTGAACCTCTCTCTTTTTTTTTTTTTCTCCTCAAAAACAGGGTTCAAGCCCTTCTCATTATAAACCGCACAATCGAGGCCGGGGTCCTCACATTGCCAATGATCGCTCCTTTTCTTTCATCTGCTCAGAAAGCAGATCATAAACCTTATCAATCTTCTCCTCCCTCTCCCTTTCCATAACTCCGATTATGCCAAAATTTTAAAATTACGATTATATAATAACTATTAGTAACTCTTATTAGTAATTATCATACCCACAATTTCGGTTATCGCTCTACCTGATTCCACTATATCCGTTCCCACCATCATTACCTTGAGGAGCTCGATACGCAACAATTGCATTAGGAGTTGGCAGTACTACACCATTCGATGACGAAAAATTCCTTTGATCACCAGGAGAAGAAGAAGAAGAAGAAGAAGAAGAAGAAGAAGAAGAAGAAGACGGATGTACTCCTGACGCGCAATTGGCAGTCCCGTATGAAATGCCCAGGTAGTCTGCAGTGATGACCTACTCCTGCCCCATACATGGGATTACCAGCTGGACTAGCACGTCCAAAAAGAATAAGCAGAAGCGGGCACAGGCCCTAAGCATGCAAATCCCTCACAACGCTGGAATAAATACACAAAATGTGAAGATAAGTCGCAAGATAGCACTCACTCGGACAGGGTATACCTTCCCCGCGGGTTAGGACGGGAATGTCACAGAATGACAAATATTACCATCATGCAGAAACGGCAAAAGCACGAAGTGGGAGGAGGGACATTAGACAACAAGAAGATGATCTTAGAAACTTCAGAGCGCGACTTGGCTCGTAGTAACTTTCGTAAATGTCGAGCCGAAAAAGTCAAACCATATCGAGCCGAAAAAGTCAAACCATATCGCAGAGCACCGTCATTGTGAGACCACAGTGGCGAAAAGACCCTACAGCTGTTTCGACCGCCTCGCCACAACGGGTCATCATCAGGTCAGGGGTTAGTGCACAGCCCAAGATAATCCCTTTTGTTTTTCTACCTACGCTACCAGAGTGGCTCGCGACCACTTGCCCGGCCGGGCCAAATACACAAGTAAAAATAAAATGAGAAAACTACGGCGCAGTCAGGGTTACAGTTTGTAATTGCATTTGAAACAGCGTTTTGGCAGTTTAGTCAGGGCCCGAGTTTCAATTGCATTTGAAACTGCGTTTTAGCAGTTTGAAACTCGGACTCCCTTTTTCTAGCATTTCAGTCAGGCACATGGTCGTTTCTTTCTTTCTTCAGTTTTTTTTTTTTTTTTTTTTTTTTTTTTTTTCCCCTCCCGGTCGCGTGCCCCAACGCCCCGCGTTTTTCCACGGCTTTGAAAAAAAAAAAAAAAAAAAAACAGCCCCATGGTTGGGCCACGGCCGAGATGTCTCGGCCACACCCCTGACTGGCCACGGCCGAGATGTCTCGGCCACACCCCTGACTGGCCACGGCCCAGATGTCTGGGCCACAGCCGAGATTTGCAGGCACTACCCTTCACAGGCAAATGCGAAGTCTCAAGAGTAGCCTACTCCGAAGAAGTGGGGGCCTCGGGGCAGGGATGGAGGCCAAAAAAAAAAAAAAAAAGAAGAAATAAAGAAGTAAAGAAACGAGGAACTTCGAATAGACCTACGTGGGGAAGGCCCTCATGTCAGCAGTGCTTTCAGGAATGTATCTGGCCAGGACGTGAGGAACATGAAACAGGTCGTTTTCCTTTTTTGTTTCTTGTCGTGAGGTCCAGGCAGGGCGGATTCCACGCGAGGCAGTTAGCTGCCTTGCTTCATTCAGTTCCAGACAAGTACTGTAGCATCCTGGATCGGACCGCAATCACAGCATAAGGGATGCTTTTTTTTTTTTTTTTTAATCTGCTGTTCTTGGATAGACGAGGGCCCTGACTGAACTGCGGACGGCCGAGTTTCAACAGCGAGTTTCAACAGCGATTGAAACTCGGCCCCTGACTAAACTGCTAAAACGCAGTTTCAAATGGAATTACAAACTATTTTCGTGACTGCGCCGAAGTTACCCCAAATAAAATTCTAATTTTTGAAAATTATTATTATTATTATTATTATTATTATTTTGAATTTTAAATTTGGTAAAGAATTTCGATACGACCGTGAGGCAAAAGTTGTTCAGTTTATTTTTCTGCATAACATAGTTTTTGTTTTCGGATTTTTTCAAGTTTTTTTTTTTTTTTTTTTTTTGGCTAGGGCCTTCCCTGCTCCTTGCACGGCCCGGCCGCCCGGGAAACTAGGGTGACCCTGGCAGCCCTGCGAGTAGCCTAGTTTCTACAATTGAAGCTCCATCTATTGGTGGGGAGGATCACCTGGCAGTGCTGCAAAACGGGCCAAGCGTCCTTTATACAGGATGATTCAGGAAAATGTCTGGGAAGATAACTGAGAAAGATAATCCTGAATCCGTCCTGAATCCTGATTACAGGAAAACGGGCCCTGGCCCAGCGTCCTTTATACAAACTCAAAGGAATTGACGGGGGCCTGCACAAGCGGTGGAGCATGTGGTTTAATTAGATACAACGCGGAAAACCTTTTTTTTTTTTTTTTTTTAAACAGCCAAGCGGGAGCTAGGGGTGCTGATAAGAGCAGACACCGCTAGCACCACCGGGGAGGCTCCATCTATTGGTGGGGAGCAGCACCTGCTGAGGCGGCTGGAAATTGGGTCCAGTGTCCCTGAACATGGTACTTAATCATGTTGGTCAATCGTGCATTTGTGTGAACATGAAGCTGCCAAGCTACCACTCTACCAATCTGACCTGTTCTAAATGAAGTTCATTCAGTAGAGGTACACAATGGCCTGAGCGCCGTGAGCGGCCTACCTATCAGATCTCCCTTAGTGAGAGGTGGCCTTACCAGCCCTTGACATATGACAGAAACTCCTCGTAAGAGATGTACTTTGACGTCATACAGGTGCTGCATGGCCGTCGTCAGCTCGTGTCGTGAGATGTTGGGTTAAGTCCCGCAACGAGCGCAACCCTCGTTTTGTGTTGCTAAGACATCGCAACCATGTGCTGCACTCACAAGAGTGATTCAGGACAATGTCTGGGAAGATAACTGAGAAAGATAATCCTGAATGATCCTGATTACTATAAAGTTGTGTAAACTTCTCTCTTATGGTAAAACTATAACCCAGTTGATGTAGCTCAGTGGTCAGAGCACCGGTTGGAAATGCGCATTGTGGTACTATGGCCTGGACCCCACAGGAATTCCTTTGGAAAAAACGTTTCCGCAGAATGGCCGTCGGAAGAGTCTTGGCAAGTTTGGAAAGCCTTCTGCGGGGACCCCACAGCGGAGGGCCGTTTTGCCGCAAAATGCGGATTGAACTTTCCGTAATAGGAAATGTGCCCGGGGTGCCATCCCGAAATGGAAAGTGGTGGCCCGTCCGAGTGACCGCCCCTGGAGCCTAGGAACCACCAATGTCCGTTGGAGGGCGACTTCGGGTGGCGGTTGACGGAGTGGTGCGACACATGGACGACAGTGTAGGCTGCTCGGACATCTTCTACTCCCGCCTGAGCTGGAGACCTTGGAAACCTTCGCGATGCACCGCCCCCCAACGTTTGAGAGTCGGCACAAAACTGCGGCGGAAATCCCTCCCCGGTCGCTTTTCCATGCTGCAGACCATGTGGAAACGGTTTTGGAAGCTTTTCCACGCCACATTCCGCGGCCTGTGGGGCCCCGCGGAAGGATTCCGCGGAGTAAATCAAACCTTTCCACAACCTTTTCCGGGGCATGTGGGGTCCCGGAAACAATTCCACGGCAAAAGTTTTCCTTGCCGCATTCCTGTGGGGTCCAGGCCTATGAGGTTGCGGGTTCGAAACTCGATTGCAGCCTTGCGCATGGACACCGGCGGGGCGTCAGAATGACGCACGGCTGGGCACACACCCCTTGGGATGACGCAGGTTGAACTTAGCTATTACAGACACTGCCTGCGCACCACCCAAGGGTTGTTCATGGTGTTGTAGTATGTTGGTTCTGGGTTTCACATGGGTTGCTTGGGGGTGTTGGTCTTGGGTGTTCTGTTGCTCTCCCCAGTGTGGCATATCACATGTTCGTGCCATTTCCACTAGTCGTTCACATGGTAGAGTCATGCGATTAGTACACGTTACAAGGTCACGGGTTCAAGCTTGGTTCGGACCTTGGCGGGGTCCTTGTCAAGCTTACCCCGTTCTCTCTTCGATATACACACATGATGCTGCCTATACATCTTGGTACATTGATTCAGAGAGCACACACAGCCTTCGGGCATATATACACAGCTTGCGAATTATACATGGCCTACGGGCTACACACACAAGTCTCCACATATGGTGCTGTCTACACATCTTGATACACAGATACACGAAGCATACAGTCTTCGGAGACACACACGGGCAGTTTCTCTAAAAAAAAAAAAAAAAAAAAAAAAAAAAAAAAGGATTACGAAGTACACAACTATCACACTGGAGGGGTCTAGGCACTGGTGGGGTCGAGTATCTGCAGTAGGGACAGGTATGGGCCACCGGAGTTCCTACCGATATTCGAATAGAACTGTCTAGTGACTATATATAAGGCTTAGACCCTGGGGTAAAGGTAGGGGTATAAGTTGCTCAGGCCAGTCCGAGTTCCGCCTGGCCTTGGGTAAGCTAGGGGAAGGACGGTAAGACTGCTTCAATGGGTGCTACCCTGTCTGAAAC